ATAAAAATCTGTGATGATATTCTAAAAAAAAAATTTTACACGTGGGAACGGATAAAAGATATCCTCCGCTATTCCGTTTATAATACTTCTACGTTTCCGGATAATATCCGTTTTCCGAAATCATACGATTAAAAATGTCAATGATCCCAAATATCGCAATTTCTTTACAAGCGCGGAAATAATTGTTTTTCAACGAAATTCGCCGATCACCACCGAAAAAACAACTCCAATAATTGCAAAGTCACTCAGAAAATTTGTGTGTTTTTTCCCCTTTTTAAACGGAAATTTCTTGGAAATTTCAAGAAAAAAAATATATATATTAAAATCCTTCAACAGTTCGTCCGATTGTCTTGTTCATTGACAGCAAGATCCTTCACATAAATATGAAAATAGGATAAACGCGACCTTCTTAGTTCTTCGAAATATACTTGATTAACTGATGCAATCGATCCGAAGCAAAAAGGGTAATTTCAAAATTTCGATCCGGAAGCAAAATCTAGATCATCATCATCATCATCATCCTCGATACATGGAAGAAATTAGCAAATATTCATTTTCATAATTTCTCTCTTTCCTGTTCCCATAATAAAAAAAAATATAAAAAAAATAATCATCTTGCATTTGTTAAATATTCAAATATACGATTTTAATACGAAATACACACTCATAAATCGTAANATTTCTCTCTTTCCTGTTCCCATAATAAAAAAAAATATAAAAAAAATAATCATCTTGCATTTGTTAAATATTCAAATATACGATTTTAATACGAAATACACACTCATAAATCGTAATTATGAAGATAAATTTGGTTAAAAAAAGGGGGGATATATTTTCTTTTGCTGGTTTCTATAATATCACATATATTGTATATGTGACAAGTGATCGGAGAACAAGTTTTTCTTTGTCTGAGTTATGTCTAATGTGCCATACATAGTAACATATTTAAAGCATACTGAACGATGCGATGTCAAGGTTATAAAGTTTGGCTCATATCCAAAATGTATTGGTGCAATTCCCCCAATAATCTATTGTTACTCTCTTCACATTTTCCTAATCTTATCCTTTATTAATTATCAAGCACAATACAATCTTTTCATCTCGAAAGTACAGAATATGATAGAAATTCGTGCTTAACACAGGCACAATTAAGAGCAGTCGGAAATCGTTTCTCTTTGTTTTCAAAGAGCATAAATTTTTATGAAAGACGAGTTTATTTTACTCATAGAAGACATTTCGGTTTTGAAATTTGCATAAACAATTTGAAGTATTTTCTTTTAAAAAATCGATTAAAGTAATATTGGAATGATGAAAATGCAACTTGCGTAATTGAAAATGTGTTTAAGAGTCACTTTCGTTTACTCTTCCAGAGCTTTATTTGTAAATTTGGTTATATTCTGAAGATTTTTTCGACCAGGATTCATTTTAATGAGGTTATTTCGAAATATTTTTTACTACTTAACACATTATTAAAGTCAATAGCGGATCAAGAAATCTTTAGAGGGAGCAGAAAGGAAACAATATACCTTACAAAATCTTTTACTACATGAGGTATCCGGCTTTATACGGGAAAACCCTTATGAGGAGAGTGCACTTACCCTGCGCATCTCCTCCAAAATTTAAAAACTAATTATAAACAAACGATCTTAATTCTTAATATACATTAACTATTACTAAGTCGAAAACATTTCCAAATTGGATACAGTAAAACCTGTATAAACACGAATGGCAAATCAATTCTGGTTTACACAGGTTTTACTGTATTTAATTTGGAAGAGAATTTACTGTTTTACCGATTATTTCTTTATGTTTAGGCAGGTTTTACTGTATATTTAGTTATATCTTCCAATGTGATTCGACTTTCAAATGAAAAAAAAAAAAAACTTGCCGATTTCGAATACGAAAACCTGTTTGTGAAGCCACAAAATATTCAGTTTAAATCTATAATGAATAAAACCACTTAATTTTTTATTTTACATCGCGTTATTTAGGGATTTATTCCTCGATATTGAATACATTTCCCCCCTTTCTAACTTTCCTGCTTATAATGTTCTCGCGATTATTTCTATTTAAGAGTAAACAATCTTTCGTAAGATAGCATTTAAAGTATATATCCTGTATGTAACCGCTATGGTCTAATATAGAGTTAACTGACCTCTCCAGGACCGACCCAGCTGTCAAAAGGAGGAAGACTTTTCGTCAATTAATGACGAACGTCCGTGAAGGAAAAGAAAAATGTCGAAAAATGATATTAACAACTATGGAACACCCTAATAGGTGTAAAAATTTCCTCTCAATAACTACCGGTGTCGTGTCAGTGACAGATAGGTCGTTGGAACCCTTTTCTTAGTAGATATACGTCTTAGTCAAAATATGTCGTTTCCACTATCAAATTTTCTCCAACACCATTAATTAAGTGAAATTACAACTCGTCTATTTAATTAAATTCACTGTATCAATGATAATCATTAATTAACACGTCTACAGGTGTTGAGATCGGCCATTTTGTTAACCGTTATTTATCACCTATACGCGGCAGAAGGACGAAAAGTGCCGTATTTTTTTGTTTTGTTTTTTAAATTTAACCTTGAACGTGCTTTAACAGTAGAAAAATTGCACGTAATAAACGGCAAAACCTGTCTAAAACGGAAAGAATTCTTCGGAACGAAACGATTCTTTTTTTATGTTAGAAGAAACCTGTTCAAAAGGGAAACCAGGGAAAAAATTCAGTATCGTGCGATTCCGGTTTACACAGGTTTTACTGTATTAGATTTGATCCTGTAGAATTACAATAAAACCTGTGTAAACCGGACTCGCGCGGTACAGAATATTTTGTCCGGTTTGGCAGATTTTTAACGTCGAAAATCGCTAAGTTCCGAAGAATTTTTCCCGTTTAGATCGGTTTTACTGTATTTAGGAAGATAGCACGATACCTATATAAACTGTATACCTTTATTTTGATTATTTAAGAAATAAATAATTAAAAAATAAAATAAATAAAAATAAGGTGACAGAAGTAGTGCATTGCGTGAAGCGTAACTCGATAACGAAGTATAACTTTGATCTTGATTTTTTAAAAAAAAAATGATAGAAAATTAATTAAACTTCTTCACATTTTCCTTCCAAAACACGTGGTTAATCACGAATAATTCCTATTGAAAATGGTTCATTCATGAGCATTTACCTTAACCGCGAGTGAAATTAATACGTTTGCCCTACAAAGAAAAATTGTTTTTTGTTAATAAATTCCATTTCTAGAAGCTTAGGAAGAATTAAAAACCTGTAATTTTACCAATTAACCCCAAGTAATTATGAAAATTACGTCACTGGTGCATAGAATCAGTTCAATTTGAGAAGATGAAACTGTCTTGTAATTCGATTCTACGGGGAAAATTCAGTTGTGTGGAGGTTTTATTCGTCTTATATGTGTGGATTTTACATTTTTTTGAATAAAAAACAAGAGAAAAAACACTTCTTTTGTCGTATTCTGTAAGAAATTCCGACAAAATTCCCGTTATACAACAGTATCCGGTTCTTAGCAGGTTATCTTACACGTTTTTCTTTAGAAAGTGAAAACTAGTAGTTTAAATGAGACTAGCCGTTTCTAGTTAAAGAATGAGGATAGGAAACAAAACAAATATGTATATACACATATTATTTATTCTTCGAAGCATTACAAGAACAAACTGAAATTTGAAAATATGGGTTATAACGTACTGTTTATAATTAACATTAATATACATTCCTACTGTACTTTAGAACTTTGTGAAAGCAAAAACACTGTTATAATGTTATTTTATCAAATGGTCATTTCAAAAGATGCTCAAATTATATGTTATTTACATTAGGCTATATATGCATTCAAACAATAGCAAATCACAATTAAAGTTTGCAGACAGAGTTGACTCCAAGGATAAAACTGCATTGTTTTTAATAATAATTCATGTTAAAATCAACAGAAATAATAAATATATTAAAACTGCTCGATAATTTACACAGTTTTAAACAGATAAACATAAAAAAAAATGCTTATTTTTAAAAAATTTCCTTAAGTTTAAACGGCATAAGCTTTAAAAAAAATGCCAGTGGATAGCGGACTGACCATTGTTTTTAATATCTTATCGTTTACTTAAATTGCCTTCCACTAGATTTTCCCTCTCCCCGATAAATTTTAACTTAGTTTATCTCATTTTTATGGTTAATAACTGTTAAAACAATATGGTAATCCAAATAAGTGTCGGCAAAGGAAATTGCGAAAGGACAATTTACGCTGTTCAATGAAGAAAGTCGAAATCAATCATTGTAATTTAAAGTTAACCACCAAAAAAATACAGAAAAAATAATTTATAATTTAAGGTAAATAAGTAATTTATCCTTCTAAATAATAACTTTTTCGTATATTTTTTAAGACGTAAAATTAATGAGCGATTCAATGAACTACTTCAATGGCACCCTTCTACACTCTTCTAACTTAAAAATTATTTTTCATTTATTGATCTTATAAGAGTCGCATAATGATAAAATCAAAATCTACATAATGCAAATGATGTATCAAGAATCTAATAATGCATGTCTTGTCACGAAATTTAAAATTTTTGTGATATATGTAAAGCATTATAATGAAAAGTTCTTATACAGTAGTGTGCATAAGTTACTACGGAAAACATAGAAAAAAAAACCATTTTTATGCATAAATTAAATCAAAAATAAGGAGTAAAAATACAAAATATATGAATAATGAATACTAAACATCTGTATTTCTCAGATTAACAATTATATATTAACTTTTGCATCCCTCCAGTATATGGAATGAATGGAAAAGTGATGAGTGACAATTTTCTTTTCTTTATTAAAAATACAAAAAAAAGTATTAATGTAAAAATAAAGACATAATACACGTCAATAATATACAAGTAAATACATCTACTTATTTATTTAATTTAATAAAATATGATTTTTTTAACCAGTATTAAATTTTATCACTAGTTATATTAGTCGTCACTCGTACTTTTCCATTGAGGACCTCACAGTATTTTAACATAAATAAAACAATTAAAGAGAAGAATTTCTGTTAAATACTGTCTGATAATTAATTAATCTTTTAAAAATAAGCATAAAGATCATTTAAAATATAAATCAGATGAGTAAATATGTATTTAGAAAAGGTGTTAAGTTTGATAAATGGGCATCAATGTAGCTATATAATAATTCTATAATCATTAAATGAATTTCTAATGTTAAGATTAAAAGCTTGAACTATGTTATACAGAATACCAATCCCGTATACCAAGTCAGTCTGTACTTTTCTTATAGAGTATAAAGAAATATAAGCTTAGTATCCTGTCGCGATATGTACAGAAATTGGAATTTATAAGTTTCCACGGAGGATAATGCATAAAATTAACGATCTGTACATTAATTTACGAGAAATTTTCCTGGTGGAAAATAAATAAGGGGGATGTAACTATAACGATCTGTTTTGGATGGCGAAACGTTATTTGACTTGACGTCTTTTATGTTTTATTAATTACATTTATAATTACTAGATCTTATTTTTGACTTTTAAGTAATAGCTCTATAATGACTACAGAACTGTATCGTGGGTTATTTCTAAGTACAAAGATCTTTTATATATTATTTACATGGATTAAAATCGTATAATCTTAAAAAATTTGTCTTGAAGATTCATCTTAGTTTAAGACCTTTCACCAGGAGTGGTAGAAATTTGTTAGGTTCCAATGGATTTTCTTTAAACCCATTCATTATCTTAAAAATAACTTTAACACATTTAAATTAATTATTCGGATTATGATGATAATGATATGATACATAGATGTAGGGCGTGATTATTTCCATTACTGTAAGGCGCAATTAATATTAAATCAGCTCTTATTTTCTTTAATAATTCAGCTAATAAATTAATAATTTAAAAACGAAGACTTTCACCCAAATTTCCTAAAAAAAACCTCCTTACTTTTTTGGGTAAACAAGGTACCGACTACCACTGATTACCGTTAAAGGGAGCTATGATTCAGATCTAAGTCGTTTCTCAGATAAACTAGAAAGTTGGGAGAGGGAAAGTCACGTGACGGACTAGTGACCCAGATCGATTGTTAAGTCACGTGACGGATTTACTATGCATTATGGCACCGAATAAAGATCGTATCCATGGCACTACGTCAATCGGCAAGTGTTAGTTAAGATAAAGGGATAATATTTTATCGCGTGGTATTTAAACAACCCAAACAGAATCGTACTTTTATCAAATTAGCGTAAAGTTTTTCGGAATATCGAATCTTGTTTTCAATAAACGAAAGGGAAGTAAAGGGGCGGATAATGAACTCTTTCGCCAGACTTAATCTTTCGGCAGTTGATCAACAGATTATTGACCGTCAAAGTATTTTATCTAATCGCCATTACGGTCGCCAATCAAACACGTTTAAAAATGTTACTACTTTTCTTCATTTTACATCTCGTATTCGACATTATGACCCACTGGCCTGTTTAATAACAAGACATCTTATAATTCTCTTAAATGGGTTTTTTTCGGCCACAGTTTTTTTGTAAAAATATCAACAGGTTAAGACTTTTTGACTACTAAGCTACCTCCAATGCACCTACTTATTTGTATATATTTTTGTAAGAAAGCACTGCGCTAGAAATGCTTTAGAAAGGTAATTAAAATGCGCCTAGCGTCCATTTTTTTTTGTAAGTAGTAAGGCTACATAAAGCTACTTAAAATGGGCCTACTTGTTCCTTTTTTTTTTTTTTTTGTAAAGAAGAATTGCACTAGAAAGGCTATCGAAAAGTACTGTACTTAAAATGAGCTTAATTGTACATTTTTGTAAGGAATAATTGCAGTAGAAAGGCTATCTAGAACGTGCCTACTTATCGATTTTCGTAAGGAAAATCTACACTAAAAAGGCTATCGAAAGGTAGTTAAAATGAACCTACTTATTCATTTTTGTAAGGAAGAACTGCAGTAGAAAGGCTAACGAAAGGTTCCTAGAACTTGTACATTTTCGTAAGGAAGACTTATACTACCAAGATATCGAAATTTACGTAAATGTGCCTACTCTGTATATTATTTTCTTTAAAAATAAAAAAAAACTGCGTTGTTAAGAACATCGAAAGGTAGCTAGAATGCACCTACACGTACTGTACATTACTTGCTAAATTTTTGTAAAGAAGAATTGCGCTAAATCGCGTTATTGGGGCCTCTTAAAGACAGGGTGAAAGGACTCGAATTGACAAATTGCAATGTCATTTGTCAAATGAGTATAGTTTGCTTGGTCATTGTCAACTAGATTAAACTTTATGACTCATCTAGAAAAAAATAGTGCGTATCTACTGTTCCACCTTCTTAGAAAAAAATAAATAATAATAATAATAATAAAAAATAGCAGTCTGAAAAAGCGCAGTAATTACTTTACTATACATAAATTAGTGAAAATTGTTAGTAATTTTGAAATATAAAATTAGTATATTTTTAGTCGAATGTTTAAGTAATAAACGAAAATAAGTCTTGAGAAACAAAGCGATATGGGGACGTTTACCTCATTAATTTCACTGATTAAATATCAAAGGGTCAAAATATAACAGGATGTTGTTATTCAAATTTTAGAAACAAAACGGTGCCATCTTTTGGCACCCAGTAAGACTAAATTTTACATTATTTTTGACATATTGACTTAAGGCTATGACACTATTTACTATTCAGCATTTTACATAGATTATACATTAAATATATTTTAAATAAATTAAATAATTTAGAATTAAACGGCAGTCGGTTATACCTTACACGAGATGATAATAGATACGTTACTCACTGATTGTTTCGCCATCTATTGGCTAAATCAACAATTAAACAGAAATATATTTATTTTTTCACAGTATTTTGTGTTGTTTCCAGCTCTTTCAACATAAAAATAGTTTTCTTATTAGATGAATAATGTGCTTTATCTATAACACAACAAATCAAGGAAGATAATGGAGTACCAATGATGTCATCTTGGAAATTATCAGAGAAGCCTGCTATCTAGTTTAAAATAGAATTATAATTAATGAAAAGTGTTGCTGATTTTTTAAAATTTTATGTATTAATAAACTTACCTGATGAGAAAACATATTTTTGATAGTTGAATCGTGTAACTATTAAAAACAAAATTGTAATAAATCACTCCAAATCTGATTTTAATTGAATATTTTTCATTAAGGTTAAAAAATATCACTTACTTTAACTTTAACTTCTTGATTATTAGAATCGATGATAAATACTTCCATACTATATTTAGTTACAGGATTTTCTAGTGTAGTTTGGCAAATATCACAGACAATCATTTCACTGAAATAGAAATTAGCAATTGGCAACATTATAGGGATGATTAAAAACAATAATAATTATTCTAGTTTTGTATTTGAAATTCTAAAACTAAAAAACTGTTATTATATTTTAGTTTTAGAATTTCAAATACAAAACTAATTATTGTAATTTTTACAATTTTTCAATGATAATTTATATTTGCAATTAGTAAATATTAATTAAGAAAATGCAAAATTAATATTATTTTGAGAAAATAACATGCTTGAATAAAACTAAAGAGCACGATAACTATGTAATTAAGCTAAATATTAATCAATGATAACAGTATTCTGAGAAAAATAAAAATAAACATCCAAAAAACCTATAAGACATTCATTGTATTTTGATGATATGGTCAAAATAAATTAAATAATATTCTCAGATTTCTTACGTACTATAAGTTCTTGTAACTTTGATACTACACTGTGATAAAATAGAATCCCCACTTCATTTTTCAGTTTAAGAAAGAACAGTGAGGAGGAGGAGGATGTTGAACAGGGAATCAAGAAAGAATTGCAAGATGAAATCTTGTTTAACCTTATAATTAAAGTTTGGAATCATGAGATACCTGTTGAAAATTGATTTGCACTAAGATCAATGAGCTTAAAAAAAGCTTGAAGTGACCAAACTAGATTTTAAATTAGGACAGAATACAAACATTTTTTACTCATATTTAAACAACATATACAAGTTTAAGTTTCATGTATTATAAGAATACTTCTGAATAAAATAGTTTAAAAGAATCAAATGTAATTTTCATCTCATCATCAGCAAACTGCTTTCCATCCAAGATGTGTTAGACAGTGCAGTGTCTGGGATATTCGGGGTGAAGGAGAACCTCTCAGCTGACATTAAGCAGCTTCTGCTGGGTCAACTTTGACATTGTCATGAAAAAGTGCACAATGTTCTTCTGTGGCTGTTTAGTGTGGATAGCATCAACCAAATGCTGCAGCTAAGCACATTAAACTTTGGAAGTTACAGTGTTATTCCATGGAAGCATCTCCAAATAGACTGGTTGTGAATATCTCACCAAATATACAGAGTAATCTTGTGCCTATGAAATCTAGTTTTGACACACAGAATATCTTTTCATTTATGATTGCACAGTCAAACACCTTTTGTTTACATAGCCCACAAGAAACTTCTAGATTCTACCTGTTGGAAAACAATTTCAAATATTTTAGAGAGGTTTAGAAAATTCTAGAAACTTTTGCATCAACCCAATATTTTGCCACAGAGTATATATTTATATCTTTAATGACTGGGATATTTTATTATTTTCAAATCTAATTTAAATGAATTTCACTCACTTTTTTGTTGTCAATTGAGATTTTTGGCATAAATTACACTCCATCCAAGACAGCATTTTCCCATCAATTCCAATAATGTAACCTAATTAAGGACAATGACAATTTTAAACAGGTATATATTAAATATACAATTTTATACAGTAAATATCATTTTTATATAACATTATTTACCATTTATATTGACTAGATTACCAATACTTGCATTCTTCAAAGACTTTTGACATATATCAATTATGTTAATATCTTCCAAGGATTGTATGGTATTGTTATTTATAGCAAAATAATAATTTCTATATATAAAAGGAGGATATTCAATAAACACAGAAGTATAACTGTCAATTGTAAAGGTTCCTGTAACAAATCAATTTAAACATGATAAAAAATATAATTTAATATGAAAGTATTCAATAAAATATTTTTATTACCTTTAGATATTAAACAATCAACCACTGAAATTATACAATTAACATTTTCAGATTGAAGAACTGATGGAAGATTATCTGAATTCACAAGCAATTCAATATAACACTTCTGATTTTCATCTGAATAATTATTTTCTTTGTTTTCTTCACATAAATGAGAGTATGAAATTAATGACATATCTGTGATATATATAATTTTTTTCCACCTCCATACTGCCTTTGCAACAAATGTACTTCGCTTACTTGAAAACATATCCTATATTAATATATAATAAATCATAAATTTAAAGTATTTTAATCAGAAAGTCTAATGATAAAATTACTTTAAGAAAATAGTATAAAAATTAAATTCAAAGAAATCAAAGAAAAAGTATAAAATCTGCACTTATGACAATATTAATCTCTTAGAGCAAATGTCTTTTAATACATTAAGGTTGATTAACATTTAGTAAGCTAAGGTGGTTAAGGCATCAGCATACTTCTCTGGGAGACCCAAAATCAAGCATGGACAAACAATCCTCAAGAATTTCACATGGGTGGTCAAGTCCTTCAGAATAGCTGAAGCCTGACCTATCTGGAACTGACCCATCTATACCAGTGATTCCCAAACTTTTCTAAGCCATCATCTCCTGTGTTGTATAAACTTATATCCAATGCCCCCAACCTGTTTTCCTTGTGTGAGAAAGACTTGAAAATATTCTTAGAAAAGCTTTTCTACAAACCTCACACTGTCCTTACAACATTGTTGTCAACATCTAGAAACCAATATTTTTTCTTATCCATTTTAACAGAGGAAAGGGAAAGGTGACCCAAACCCTTGCCTATGGGTACCATTTGCTCCTGCCTCCAGTGTCCTCTGCCACCCTCTTGCTTCTTTTTGCAGCCTAAATTTACTTGCTGCTCCCTAGGGGCAGTAGCACCTACTTTGGGAACCACTGATCTATACCTCACCATCCAGCAATCCTATTGTAGCTTGGAAAATGTCCCTCCTAGTTGCCCCACAAGTTGGAACAAGGAAAAAAAGAATCTAAGATTTAATATGTGTCAAATATATCTTCAGATTTGATATATGGAAAAATTTTAAAACTTTTCTAAAATTAGATTTGTACTAATTTAACAAAAGAATAATTCCGTTTGCATCAGCATAATTTCAGACTTATGAAAGATTTGAATTTATCATCATATTTTAAATAATTAAAAATGCTAGTTATTATTTGAAAGCTTTTAGCATATGATGACAAAACTAAACTAAGCGTTAAGAAGAACTATAACATAATTACAACACAGCGAAGATGTTATACTATTTAACTTTTCAATTTGCTTAATTAAATTGTTTCTTTTACAGAGAATTTCCTTGTCATTCAATTAGTGTAAAAACAGAAACAACAATATTAATTAATTTAAAATCTGCATTATAGTGAAGTTATAAATCTAGAAGTATTGAACAGAATAATATAGTTTATTTTATTATTTGAGTTCAAAGATAAACTACTGACATTTTATGAAAATATTTTTGAAAGATATTCTTGAAAACTCACTTTACAGTTTAAGAATACAAACAATTTTTGACATGTTCAAGCATTTAACAATAGTTTTAATTACAGAACAAGATTCAGCATTAGAAAACCTAATGACATGGAACATCTTGATGTTAATACCAATAGTGACTATGATAAAAAATACATGAATATATATGTTAAAGCTTGTAAAAAGCTCATAATTATTTCAATTAAAATATACTTTATATTAAAAAAAAGCTTATTTGGAAATTCAACAAGAATTATATGTAAGATTATTGTAATAAATGAATAAATTATTGCTATATTCCTTAGAAGAGCAGTTTAACATTCTATCAAATTTTTTTTTATCGTGATTATGTTGATAATTATATTGAAACTGCATATATCAATTACACTTTGCATAAAATATAACAAATAAAGTATTTTTGTCTTTAATCACTATTTAAGATGACTGTGTCAAACCATTAGAAGTTTTGAAAATTAAAAATCAAACTTTTTCATCTTCACTTTTGAAATCATGTCTTCCTTTTTGTTTCTTTACTTGACACAATGAAGTGTAATTTAAAGTGTATCGGCAATAAAAAAGAAATAAAGAATGTAAAGAACTCCTTGTGATATATGTAAATTACACTTCATTGTGTCAAATAAACAAACTAAAAATCAAACATTTTGAATTTCATAGAAACATTTAAATGTAATATTAAATCATATAAATATTTATCATATAAATTACTGTGTTATGGCATATAGAATGCACCACCATTTCAGTACAGAATATTTACAAAAAAAGTATTTAATATAGTTAAGGCATTCCATATCCTTTGGCATTTGACTCCAAATTTTTTTTACTATATTCTGATTAAAACTAGTAAAATTAAAATGCACACTTTTATTTATTAAGAAAACAGAGGCATTTAAAAGAAGTCATTTAACAAGTTCATTGCTAAAGATGCCTTTGAGTATCTTATACTGTCTTACCCAATGTGCTTGAGAATGCTTATGTGTATCCTCAGTTTGATTATATTATTGCTCTGGAAAATTTAATCCTTTGTCTATAAAAAAGTTTATTTTTATCATTTATTGTACATTTCAAAGAATATATTTCATTCATTGGTTTTGTATTAGCATTCTGTGTATTAAATTTTTATTGGTACAAACCAAGCATCATGCACTAGTTTTTCAGATAGAGATAGATGTGACAACAAAAATTCCTTTGACACTTTTAACATACATATATTATGGTTAAATAAAAAATAAATTTGACTAGTGTTGTACAGTACTTGTTTCATTATATTTTTATCTCATTTTTGTCTGATATAATCATCTTAAAAATCTTTCTTATGCTCTTAGATAATATAAGACATTGAATGTGGTTTTTTTCAAGGTATCTTACATCTTACTTACTCCTACTATTTTTTAAACTCCTATCATTAACACAGGCTGCATAGTACAGGTTGCAAGACTATTTTCAAGAATTTCACATTTTGTTTCACTAGAATTAAATTAGTTGGGGGAAATAAATGTTGTTTATTATAATTATTTAAATATTGAAATTTACATTCATGAAACCAATTATCTGGCACTTCTTGCTTTATAATTTCTAATACAATCTTTACATCTAAATTGATATAAATTTTTGTTGAGAAAATTTGAAGTATTCAAATATATCACTCAAAAACTCAATTTACAATTAAAAGTTTAAATGATACCATATTAGCCAAGTTAGTATTAGATGAAACATTTAGTCCCAAATGAATGAAGCTAAAGTTATTCATAATACAAAGAACCTTAAAAATGTATTTTTAATAGAATCATTTTAATTAAAATACAAGATCTGTGCAATAAACTTTCTAATATTTGTAATGCACATAATTACCAAATCTGAAAATGTTTGTTTTAAAATATATTTTCACTTTTTCAATGTACTATTGTATAATTTTTAAGATAAATATGTACTTAAAAATGAATTTATATATTTAATATTTATAAATCAAATATATTTGATCTTTGACTACTTTAATAATTTGATGGAAAGAGTTTAAATAGTAAATAAACATAAAAGTATTTTCTGTATTTAAATTTTATGCTTTATCATTGTATTTGATTTGAATGTAATTTCAAAAATTTGACAAGTTAACAAGCATCAATTATGTATATGTATTGTAATATTATTTGTGAATTAGGCACCTTTTCTAAAATTATTTGTAAAGTTTTACTAAAATTTTATTATTTCTACTAACTCTTTTTTCTCAGATTAAAGCACTCTTATGTAAAAAATTTTCATACATAACATAAAATAAACGTAAAGAATAAATATAATCTTTGAACTTTTTAATAAACGATTATAAAAGTCAAAATAAATAATTAATAAATGATTTATTACCTTAATAATAGTCTTTAATGTTTTTAGATGAGGTGGAACCAATACTGGCAAACATTTAGATTTTTCTTCTATTACACAGCTATCATTATTAGAATAATTAAAAGTATAACAAAATGAAATATGGTCTTTATGTTTTTCCTAAAAAAAACAAACAACATGTTATAACTCTGGCAGAGTTATAATTAAAATGAAATTAAATTTATAAAATTTTGTAAATATAGAGGAAACAAATTATCTGGTTACTGAAATGTTTATATAGACTGTATTCAGCAAAAAATTTCTGAACAGATGGTGCAGCTAAGTAACTTACTACCACTTCCGATTTCTAACCTCATGTTGTTGCTAATCAATGTTATTGAGTGTGTGAGTATTTCTAGAAATTTTGTTTATGATGTTTTGAGATAAGTGGAAATTTATCTCCTAAACATAAACATGGAACAGCATGTTGTGTAGTATGTTGTGTTAAATTTCATAGGTCAATCATCCAACGATCCTAACAGTCCAGAGTAGATATCATCATTGCTTCCTCACAAATCTCAAGAAATTATATAAGAAAAAGTAAAATGTTACAGTTGCTGTAAAAGACAAAATGCAGATAACTCTTTCAAAAGTGTTTTAAAAATAATAGTTGAACCATCCTCTAATCATTCCACAGAAGAAAGAAGCACTGAAGAACCAGCATATCACTTACAAAATAATGCAGCTGTATTATATTAATATCATATTAATATAATACAGAATATTAATATCATATTAGAAAAAATATAAAATAAAAAAAATGTTAGTTACATCCAAACAATAGTGAATCTAGGAAGAAAATGTTATAGGCTAATGAATATTACAAACTATCATTCAAAACAAGATCAATTTCTTTTATCATTTAATAGTGGATTATCAAATAAGGGCATGTTTACCAAACTGTTAGAGTTTATTAATACAATTGGAATAATTACAGGTAAGTTTCAACTGATGAAAAGTCACTTTCTGCTGACCTTGATGACACTGAAAAGGATCTGTTAATAAAGATCTAAGTTTCCAATTTGGAATCCATAAACCTACAGTTGTAATAATATTTCAAAACTGACTTAACTTAATTCTACTATTGTACTATTTATAACTGTATGTATTGTGCTAAAGAATACAATTAAAAGGCCACAGAGGAATACAGTTAAAAATTAACTTGCCAGATATTTTCAAAGACCCAATGTTTGAATGCATTATTGACTAATTAGACTCTTTCAAACTTTTATATGCTTTAAAAGATTCTTTTGTATAGGCATGTATATGTAGTTTGTGTGAGATAAATCCAAATATCTCAAAATCAATGTGTGGTCCAATTTTTGACAGTTTAAAAACTTTATTTCTGACATATTTGTCTAATAGGTCTGGAAATTCCAAATCTTTATATTTGTTTTTCTTGATATCTTAAATTAGTTTCAGTATCCTACAAATTAAAATAATTTTCAGGCATCGTTCACTTATGTGTCATTTAACTACAACTAACCAGAAACACAAAATGGAAATTCAAGCAAGTCTTTCATACAGATCATGCACATGTTTTTGTTTATCCAAGAATACAGTCTATACAAAATCAATAATTACAAGAAAACTAAATAGAAGATCAAATCAATTTTAATGCCATTTTTGTTAATATTAAATTAATTTTAATTTCATTAAGATATAAATATTTTGATTATGATAATTATATACACATTTTACTTTGTTTTTTAAGGACATCAAATCAGATCAATTATAAAAATTTTATGCAAAACTCTAAAAAACTGATTGGTGATTTGTTTTAATAGTGAAAAAGTATTATTATTCTAGAGCACGGGTTCCCAACCTATGGGTTGCGACCCAGAAGGGGGTCGCGACGGGCTTTCTGTGGGGTCGCCAACTTATACAGTTAACTAAAAAAATGTTCACTATAATGCAATTTTTATTTTTAATGGTGTCTTGAAGTTTGAATAATTTGATATACAGTCGATCCCCCTATAACACGGGTTCCTATAGATCGGATTCCTATATAATGGCGAAAAAATTGCAACGGTGTTCGTACAAACATGGTAAAAAAAACTCCTATAATTCGGTAAAACGTCATCGGGCAGCCAAACTACTTTCCGCCGTCCAGCGCCACGCAATGGAGAGTTTAGGCAAGTAAGTTGAGTTTACTATCGTCTGTACAGTATGTAAATTAGGTATCGTAAGTCTAATACAGCACTAATTTTATACATTTCTTGTGAAAGAAACATTTTTTATTCAATGGCCATAAAAATTATTTATATTAATGATGTCTCCAAAGGTCAACGAAGTTTTCGCAGAAAAATAATTTATCAGAAAACGCAGCCGCCATTTGGTGCACTGCTCCGCGACGAAAACAAGCTTAAGCAATGGCGACGTCGAACGGTGCACACTCGGTAAGTAATCCTACATTTTTTTGTTTATAGCATAGTTTATACGGATTATTCCCAAAAAATATACGTATTTTGGAAATGTTGAGTCGAATTAGTCTAGGAATCGATTAATTTTATGGAAGAAAACTTTTCAAACAGCCATAGTCAGTAAACTTCACACATGTCGGGCTGTGATTGGCAAGGTTTCCTAAAACATTAATTTCATAAAAAACGGAACGTATCTACCGTGTTATAGGGGAGGGGTCAACTGTATTTTTTAAAAATTAAAATAAGTGTAATCTAGGTATGCTATTCCATCACAGTTGGTTAAATCATGTGTTGAGAGTTTGAGAGGAATAAATTAAATGTTGAGAATGACATGAGGTTGGCGTTAACAAAAACTCACCCACGAATTTTAAGGCTGGTTAAAAACATACAATTTCAACAATTGCATTAAATTATTAGACATAATTTAAAATAAAATTATACTAAAAGACTAATTTCGTTGTTTTTTTTAATTACCTTATTAAAAATGTCTTTTTCAATGGTATCGGGGTCGCGGGTCACTTGGCTTATATAAAAAGGGGTCGCCACCCGAAAAAGGTTGGGAACCGTTGTTCTAGAGATTTTATTTACTGCTATATAAATTGATAAAAAGAAATGCAGTAAAAAATTTTATCTATCTAATTTTATAAACATTTTTATTCACAAAAATATCATAAAAGTAAAGAGAGAAGTAATTTAAATATTTTAATCATATATATATTTTTTTCTTTATCATAATCATTAATTTCATTTTTAAAATAATATTACTTAACTAAAACAATAATTTTAATTCATACATAGAATAAAAATTTTATTAAAAATTATTTATAACTTTAATAAATACCTTTCTTTCATTGTTACTTATCAATTCAAGAAGGGTAAACAGAGAAGGATTTCTAAAAGTAAATATGCTTATTAATATAAATATTTTTGAATAATATTAATATAAAATATAATAGTAATAATAATTATTGCTATAGTAACCTGGAAAAATTCAATCTTTGACTAATATGAACATTAAGAAACCAAAATATTTTTCCATAGAAAAATTCTGGTTTCCACTTATTTTCTTGAGGGAGATGTATCAAGCAAAATGAATTATCAGCATCTTGGCATAAAAGATCAAAACTAAAAAAAAAAAAAAAAAAAAAGATNTATTTTTGGTTTGTAAATTTTTGATTTAACTTTCTGTTCTATATAATTCTTATAAACAGATTTGCCGTTTACTATTCTAAAATAAAAATATTGTTATCTTCAAATAAAATAATTTATAAGAGAAAATTATGTAGAATACACAAAAGGTTCTCTCTTTAATACCATGAATTCTAATCACATAATAAATTTAATTGGCAAGTGATATGCTCATCAGTTAACTGTTTCATGTGATGCTTTGAACATGATTAAATATATAATTATCAAGCCTACAAAGAATAATTGCTGTTTCTAATTGAAATATTTATTTGTAACATAATTATCATTATAAATTCTGTCTTTGGAATGTGCAATTTGAGATAATTAAATTATTCAGTTTATACTAAATACACTATGCTACTATTTAAATATCCAAATACCTTTTTATGGTTAGAGTAAGATCCCTATGCAAGGAACACATCACAAATTTTACTATAAATAGGCCCATAGGTCTCTGATGAAATAGAATTATGACTGGCATTGTAAGACAGCTTAATTGAGAGAGTTAAGGAAATTCCAGTGCAGATAAGTACAGTGATTAACATGTAAGCAATTACTCCATATGTGAAATTTCTCTCAAAGTTGATGGATTCTGATGAGATATGCAAATAGAATTGTCCAATAAATCTCTGACATTAACAAAGAATTTGCAAGAGAGTGTGCATTCAAAACACAATTTGGCACTGTTTAACACTTTTACTGTCAATTGAGGCAATTTTGTGTTCTGACCTTCATCCACTGTGTCAATGACACATTCAAGTCTTGCTCAGAATTGATCTTTCCTTCTAATCATTAATCTTTACATAAGATAGTAACAAAATTATTTATCTTTACTTTAATTTCACTTTTATAACCACTTAAAAGGAGTCTTTTGGACGTATAAACCAAAATGTTATGTCCTTCAAATTCAATGTTCACCCAAGTTCAAGAATTACTCAGAAGGCTAAACTTTTGAGGTTATTGATAAATTGCTAAAAGTACAGTGTATCATTTTATTATTTTAACAGTGTCTTTTATTTTGTATTAGTTATAACAGTTGGCTGGCTTGTAATGTTGTTTACTGTTTGTATTAATTATATTGCTCTAAACACCATATCGTGTCAGCACATTTAATTAAATGTGCTGACACGATGTTTAGAGCAATACAATTACAGTAGAACCTCGATTATCCAGACCTCTGTTATCCGGATTGTTCAAAATAAACAAAAATTCTACGAATTTGCTGATTTGCAATTTGCGAATTACGACACTGTTTATGTACATGATGGAATGTATAACATTTTTTGTTTCAACAACCTCTCACCCAGCACAGTGGTCATAAACTTAAATATATTTTGTGTTGTAATAAAAATATAACTTGACATATGTATTTATAAATAATTTATATTCAAATTACATCATTTCTATGACCAAGGGCGGCGTAAGGCATGGGCAACGTGGGCCATCGCCTATAAATCAAATTTT